TGAGACTTTAAGGGAATGTTTCCTACTCATGTACGAGCAAAATCAGGTGTTTAGAAGCGCCCGAACCCATCTGCGAGCGCGTGAAAATTTTGGCGCGAAAATTGCTAACCCGAGAACGGGGAAATTTAGAAAGTTGAAACTTTCGGGGAATGTTCCCTACTTATGTACGAGCAAAATCAGGCGTTAAGAGCCCGTGCCCACATACGAGCGTGTGGGAATTTTGACGCGAAAATTAGTAACCCGGGAACGGGAAAAACTAGAAAGCTGAAACTTGGGTAATGTTTCCTACTCATGTATGACCAAAAGATTTTGAATTCAGACCAAAAGATTTTGAATTCAATACAGTACTCACGTACGGACACGTGAAAATTTTGACGGGAAAACTGCTAACTCAGGGACGGGAAAAGCTGAAGGCTTTAATTTTAAGGGGATGTTTCCTGCTCATGTGCGACTAAAAGATTTTAAACTTAACTCTTCTAGCGTGGCCTTTTTGCGGACCGGCAACTTTCCATTTGTCGGGTCACTGAAGTCGACACCTACAACTGACATACCGCATAGTTGCACAATTAATTTCCCGAACTTGAGGGCCAGTATTTCACAGGGTTAGCTACTTTGATCCCTTGCGATATTGCTACGGCACGAAAAGTGCAAAAACGCATAATCGCACCGGCCCGCCTGGTGCATTCCAGCCCGGGTTGTAATTGCCGTAGTTTCTGTTTGAGACGAACCGAGTTTTTGCAATTGCCGTGACGCCGCCAGATAGGTGGGAAAAAGGGCAAGCCGAGTTTTAGTAATTGCTGGGCCGAGCTGGGTTTTGCTGGCTGCGTAGTATGTCGCGACTGGGCGGGATGCGCGAATTATGATGTGATTAGGTGAGGTGATGGAATAGGCGGGAAATAACTGGTGCTATGTTGCTTCAGATATGAATTTGGCTTGGAAATGTTTGGACCCTTTGTTTGGGATGTGGTGCCTGGCCCGTTGTTTGCGCATGTAGCAGCTGAGGACTTCTCCATGTGAGCACTTTCGTAGGTTTCAGTTATCGGTCGTCATAAAACTGTGGCTTGAATTTTGTGGCGATCGAACGTAGCAGTCTCGGAGAACAGAGGACATTTGAAGAGGTATTGGAAAAACAGTCGGAAAAAGTAGGTGAGCCATTGCTGCTGAGAATGCAGCGAAGATTTTCAGAGGAGGATGTGCATGGAAATTCGTTGCCACTGCTGCTGCTCTGCCACAGGAACTGATTGGCTGAATGCGCGCCAGCTGTTCGGGGCTGCCTATGCTGTTCGCGTGGCTTTGGTTCAGTTATCCAGGTCTTCCCTGCACTGAGCTTACCCTGCTTAGCACTGTGCTCACCCGAAAATATGGGACTGCTCTATCGTTGTACGCTCAGGATGACGAGTATTTAGCAAGCCAGAGATTGTTTTAAGGAGAAATGTGGTCAGTGCATCTGAATGATCGGCAGTAGCTGATTTCAGGAGAGATGGGCATGGAGAATTCGGAGGACGAACGCAGTGTTCTTGCAAGCTCACCCGAAACCCCGTTCAGTGATACCGGTTATGAGGGGGAAGGATCAGATAGCACCGACAATGGTATTATGATAGTTGCAAAAAGTAAGTTTTCAAATCTCATAGTTCGAGAATTTCGGACGAATTTATTCTCATGCATTTCTTATCACTGTGTAGTAGCTGTAACTCCGGTGCGATCAAAATGGCACAATGAGTCCCAGCAAAGTTGTTGAGTTGGATGGGATTTGCGTTCAGGAAACGGGAGCAGAAGGCGAAAAAATCGCTAAAGCACTTAGCGCACGGTTCACTTGATATTTCCAATCAAAAAGGCAGTGGAAGAAATGCATAACAGTTCCAGGACAAAAGAAATGAAATCGCCTGCAGCTACCTTGCCTGTACTCAAATAAATACTTCTACGAGAAGGGGTCGATGCTGCGTTGTGACAGAGAACTTCAGTGCCAAAATGGATAAGGGAGATCGGTGAGAAGATTGTATCGGACCCTTTGGGCTTAAAACAACCAGTGAGCGAGTTCAGTGATTTGCGGATTTCATCGTATGCACAGAGCCATGCATAATGAATTGGCTTTTCAAGAAGCGTTATGAAGAGCGCTCTAACTCGCAAGCGCAAAGCGGATTTCCACATGGAATGACTGATTCAGATAAAAGTTCTGTGCAGGAACAGCCAGAGCATTTCGCCCCGACCTCTTCATGCCGTTGAGCGTAAGATTTGGAACTTCGTTACAAGCATTGATGACAAAAACTGCATCCTCTTGCTTCTCAAGCGAAACGAATACAAAACCGTTTCCAAAGCGAGCATTACCAGAAGACTTAAAACCGTTGAAAACACGAGTTTTTTTTTTGCGCTTTTTTGAAGAAAAATGGTGCTTGTGAACGATGGAGCATAAGCTTTGCAAGGAGCTTAGACGAAGAAAGACAGAATATTATGGAAATTTCCGAAGAAAAGGCTGCAGCAAAAATACGACCTGTGTTTAGGGTTTATGAAGAGGTGCAATTGACTCAGACAGTGACTTATGCAGACTAGAAAGACTGCAGGGCAACAAAGTAAAAATGTATGGATTTCAGAAGTTCTCATAAAGATTCGTTTGTGTTCTCGCTGTACTCTCTGTCCTTCAGCACAGGTTGTAACTTCCAGGGAACTGGAAAATACACTTTTTGCAATGGCTTTCACGAAGAAACAATACTGAATAAAATTTGCGCAGTAGGAACGCCAGCGGGAAACAGCATATTTGTGTCAAGTAGCAGCGATGAAATTACAGAAGTTCAAAACAGTGCTGATACTGGAGAAGGGAGACATTTGTAGTTACAGTCAATTATGCCTCTTGAGAGCATGAGCTCTGTATACGTAATTTGGGCGCGAGTCCAAGTATTCTTGATGTCTAATCGAGAAGAAGGCAAATAGGCTTCAGAAAACGGTTTTCCACTGTTGATATTTTCCAATAGCGAAATTGCTAGACAAACGCAAAATTGCTTTACGTTTCATATTTATCGTTTGTAAGAAGGCTTTTGACCCAGTAAAAAAATAAACTCACTGCTGTACATTATGCTATCACTGATAAACAGACGAATCCAACACACATCGGATTGTGGAAAACTGTTTCATCAAGTCAACTAATGAAATCCGCTCTACTTGAGCAAAAAAAAAGATTGGCCAACGCACTGACTGCGGGTGCGAAGATGCGTTTTTTGCACAGTTCCCCGCTGGTTGTTGTTGCTAACAGCACCCTTTTTTTCCAACACGTGCTTCTGACTAAAAGAACTGAGACTAGCCATCACGACTGTCAGAAGACATCCTTTTAAAATTTCAGCTTTTTAGCTCTTCTGGTTCCCGAGTTAGCAGCTTACCCACGGAAAATTTTTACGGGCCCGTACGTGGGGACCGTGTGGGCAAGAGCCTCTGTTTTGGGGATAGGATCCCGCCTATGAATTTAGATTAAGTTCCCAAAGTTTCAGCCTGTAGCTTTTGTAGGTTTAGAGATAAATAAATAGCGAAGCGCACCAGGGTAGCCGGTGCGATCATGCGTTTTGCGCAGTTCTGTCCTGCGGACGTTTGCTTACTGAAAAAATTACTGTTTTACACTTTCGTATATGGAAAAACAATAGATATGCTGTCTGGCTCGTAAGGTGAGGAATTTCCTATTGAAAATTTCACATACCGATACGTGAAAACTGGATTTGAAAACATGGATGGGAAACGTCCGTCCAAATTTCAACGTTGTAGTTTTTCGGCTTCGGTGCTAGTGATTTTCGCATCACAATTCTCACTTGGCCTTACGTAAGACCTCCGCAAACCTGGAAGCTAAATTTCAGTTTGTGGGACACCTGCAGTGACAGAAAATGTCCTCTTGATATTTCAGCTTTCTAGTTTTCGTGGTTCCCGAGATAATTTTTCCCCAAGACTTTCACGGAACCGTACGCGATACCAAAGCGTGCGGGAAAACTGAATTTAATTTTCTGGATTGCACGTAGTCAGGGGCATACCCATAAAATTTCAGCTTCCTTGGTCCCCGCGGTTCCCGAGATAATGATTTTACCCACTCAAAATTTGCGAGGCCGTGATGTTACCCGCAGGCACGGGAAGTTGAGTTTGAGTTCTTTGGATCGCACGTGGGCAGAGGAAATACCCATAAAATTTCAGTTTTCTAGCTCCCGTGGTTCCAGAGATAATGATTTTACCCGCCGAAAATTTTACGAAACCGCACGTGTTATCCGCGGGTACAGGAAAGCTGAATTTGAGTTTTCTGGGTCGTACGTGGTTAGCGGACATAGCCCTAAAATTTCAGCTTCCTAGCTTCCGTAGTTCCCGAGATACTGATTTTACCCGAAAAACTTTTACGGGGCCGTACGTGTTACCCACGGGTACGGGAAGGCTGAATTTAAATTTGCCACGTCACCCGTTGACGTGAAACACTTTACTAAAATTTCAGCCGCCTAGTTTTTATGGTTCCCGATTTGAAAGTGCGGGACAAAATGTGGACACACACACACACACAACCTCGTGACAGTATGCGTTTTGTACTGCTCTTACGCAGCACAAAACGTATAAAAGTCGCAGAGAAACGTGACGCTGGCTTTTGATTGTCTGACCTTTTGTAGTGCATTTAGAAGTGTTTTAGAGAAAATTGGCCAAACGATTTTGTATCGACGGTGAAACTCTTTAAATCTTCATTTTCACAGACAACGTTATGTTCGTCGCAGAAAACCCTTTGGCGTTGCAGAAAGTTAAATGAACTTGAAAGCATTGCTAAGAAAGTGGACTCGAAATCAATGGATGCAGGACTAGATGGGCGAAAGGCGCGTATCTTATCATTTTGGCATAAGAGTAGAGAACTACCGTGCTGAGCTAGTGGGAAATTAAACTTTTTGGTGCCTAGACGGTTTCTGAGTTATATGTGAAGGTGAACAAAAAGAGAGCGGAATGGTTAGCCTACACAGGTCACGAAATGTTTCCAGCACTGATGTTATATCGACTGTGAAAGCTAGTTTTTCCATTTCCGCTGTGTATCCAGTAAATTTAAGCTTAAAACACCTCTCTCGCAGTAGATAATAATTGGCCAGCACACCGCCTGCCGCTGCGAAGATCCGTTTTTTGAACAGTTCCCGCAGGTTTTTGTGGCTGACGGCACTGTTTTTTTCCGGCAGATGCTTCCAGCTAAGAGAACTGAGACTGGTCAACACGACTGAGAAAACCCTCTTAAAATTCCAGCTTTCTAGCTTTCCTGGTTCCCAAATTAGCAACCTGCCCGCCAGTTCACGGGCCCGTATATGGGGGCCGTGAAAATATCGTGAGGGAGGGAGGGGGGGAGGGAGGAGGAGAGTGGGATAGATTTTGAAATCATCTAATTGTACATGGATAGGGAACATCCCTTTAAAATCCCAGCTTTCTAGCTTTTCAGGCTCCCGATTTAGCAATTTACCCACCGGAAATTTTCACGGGCTCGTATATGGAGACCACGCCCACCTGAGAGCTGGGTTTGAACTGATTAAGTCCAACGTGGACGGGGAACATTCTCTTAAAATTTCAGCTCTGTAGCTTTCTAGGTTCTCCAGTTGCGAAAAACTCCTGCGAGCTCGTACGTGGAATCATGCACACCTGAGAGCTGAGTTTGAACTTACCAAGTCCTATGCGGAAGGAAAGCACCCCCTTAAACTTTCAGCTTTCTAATTTTTCAGGTTCCCGAGTTAGCAGATTACCCGCAAAAGCTTTTATGGGCACGTGCGTGTGAGCCGCTTGGGCAAGAATGCCCATTTTTGGGGATTGAAACACACACAGACTACCCTCAACAGTATACGTTTTTGCATTGCATAGATGCAGAAAACGCATAGAAAGTTAAGGGTGATTTAACGGACCATGAAACGATCCAGCGGTAGATATCAGTAGATCGTATTCTAGCGGAGTACTCTTATTTCTGTCTGACTGAGACGATATTACCAAATCGAGAACGCCAGTAAAAAGAATTAGATAGACATCTGGTGAGAATTGGGGACGGCAAATGGACAGAGCAAATTACTGGATAGTACTCTTGCAGTTTTAGAAGGATACAGGAAAAGTCGTCATTTCAATGGAACGGACAACTTGAAAATCTATGCGGAACTGTGTGGATAAGACAGATTCAGGATAGGGGAAAATAAAATCGCTGGCTGCTTCAATAGCGATAAAAGGCGCGACAAGTAAACGGCAGTAGATGAAATTAATTATACGTGCTGCAAGCATTTCTGACGGAATTTTAGGAAGAGAGTGGGTACGCTCTGGAAGGCAGTTTTCGATTGTACTTGTCAGTGGCTGAGCAGATGTATTATAACTGCTAAGCGTTTGATATGTTCGTGCTTGTAAGGATCCGTGCTCGCAAAACCGAAATGTCATTGGCCGATAGGTCTTGCCATAGCCTCCAAGTTTTGCTGAGCAGCGGGCAGTGGCACTTTATAGAGTTCGCATTGGGATTTAAGGACCATTCTGGTATTCAATTCGAAGCATTTTTTCAGCTCATATGTCTTTCCTTTTGTCAACAAATCTGAAAATTCGTGAGGGAGCCGCCTATCAGTGCCAAGTGCCAGAGTGGACAGAGCCAAAACGACCCGAAGAAAATTATGATTATGAGGAATCATGTGTTTGGCTACCATCTGCAAGCCTAGACGATACCAATCTCAGCAACTACCTCGATTTTATACATTCGTATACCAACTTCAATCAGGAGCAGGTTTTTTTTTGCTGGTTTGGTTTCCTTTTCCGACTGACGCTTCTTACCAGTGAGACAACCAATCTCGCTTTCATTTCGATTATAAATTGGTGCTGGCATGTGCTAGGAAGTCAAACTCGCTATCAGCCTGCTTGTAAGCAACCCTCGAAAATGGGTGCCATTGACATTTGCCGTTCGTAATTGCTGTCACTCCGGCTAATTCCCGGATACCCCCGCCCAAATATTCGTCGGATTTTTTGTGAGTTTGACGTGTCTTAAAACGCAAGCTTGCACGACGTCATTTTCCTAGTGCAGTTGTCTTCCGTATCGCTTCTCAATCTGTTTTCCAATAAAAGCTTTGTCTTTTAAAGTATTTGCTATAATGCTACGCAATCCAAAATGCTTGCTTTTTTGACGTCGAAAATACGTCTGCTTTACATATTTTTTGGCACCATGCAGCTTGACTAGGTTGAGATGGAGATTTTGGCGACTTTTGCTGAAAAAAGCCTATACCAGCACATTTGCTTTAAAATACTCGCATCAGCAGTTCTTGCTGGAAAGGATCTGCGCTAACAATTCTGCTGGAATAAGCCTGCTTCAGTCCGTGCCGTAATAGTTGTATAAATTGCCAGAGTGAACATAGTCAAAGCAATCTGAAGAAAATGATGATTATGAAGAGTGATGTGTTTGATTGCCCACTGCAAACCTAGACGATACCAAACTGAGCAATTGCCTCGATTTTATACATTCGTATACCAACTTCGTTCAGGAACAGATTTTCACGCTGTAAATTTGCCTGCATCATTTCTTTCTGGGATGGGTGCCCCAACGCATAAAATGCGCGCAATTAGTGCAAATCGTGCATTTCATGTGTTTCCAAGAAAAGGTGGCAACGGGTTGAATTCTTGGATGCATACGACTGCTGTGGTGTCAGTTTTATGGCTAACGCATTATCGTTATGCGACTGCTCCATTCGTTCACTAATAACTCATATTAATTGGGAGTTTTCTGGGTGCCTTTTTTTTTTTCACTGTCAAAAGTATGAAGAGTGCTGAGCCGTTTTCAATTTTAGGCATTGTATATGTTGATGCTGTCGAACTATAATACTGAAGCGGCAAAGCGCGAACTTGCCCAACGCAAACTTATAAATCGTTCATGGAATGCAATGGAAATCGTGGCTTTTAAGCAGGGACTGGCTACCTATGGCAAACGATTTCACAAATTCCCAAAACGGGTATCTTACGCCTCTTTTCTGTCCTTGATTTGCGCTCCGTCAAAATGCTTTGTTTATGAGCTGCAGTGGCCAGGGATTTTAGTAATTTCTGCAAAGGAAGGGGCTGAAGAAGGACGGAGCTGTGTTTGCGAAGAGTCATTTAATTCCGGAGGTGCTGTATGCAATTCACTTTTTCCGGCTTGTCGGTATCATGCAGTTGCAAAAATGACCCTAAGAACTGATGCTGCTTATTTTTTTGGACTGCAGTCAATTTTTTTGTATTTTTCATATGGGATGAGAGGGAGGGTAACGGACTGTGGCTGCAGCATTGCAAAGCAGTAGAGGGTGACCGACTGTTAGAAGGTAAAATTGTGAATCGCAAAATTTGTATGTCTGGCGTCACTGCTGTTTCATAATATTGATTTGCTTTTACTAATGATCTAAGCATTCTGTAGGTTCAACTGGTAGAGTATCTTTCCAGAAAGGCATTTTTAAATGGATTTCCCGTTGAATTTGTTTGCCTATTCATTTAATTTTCAAGAAACGAGTGATGGCAAACATCTCAATAGCAACAAACAATTGTCCAATTCGTTTTTGCTAGTATTTTTTTATCTCAAAATTGCATTTTGATTTCTTGGGAAATGCATCACGCAGAACGGGTACGTGAGTAGGAGAATTATCAGTAAATTTCAGCCAGTGAAAGTTAACGAGGTATGAGATGGGACTATGGCTGCGACGTGTCCTTCACATTTGATTTTTTACTTTCAGGTGGTAGACAGGTCGGTGAAGGAAATTGTCGACTTCTACTACAATAAGAAAAAGAAGAACAATTTCAAAAAGTATATTAAGCATTTCTCGGAAGGTGATATCTCCGGGGACGACAGGTTTTTTTTTACTCATTTTAGTCTCATTAGTCAGCTGCGGTGAAGACAGCTGAGCATCGGTCAGTTAGCGACAATTC